GTTACTAACCATGTTACACCTGTCTGTGTGTTTCTAACCATGTACTATTTGTCGGTATGTTACTAACCATGTGACACCTGTCTGTGTGTTACTTACCATGTTACACCAAGTCTGTGTGTTACTAACCATATAACACATGTAACCCCTGTCTATGTGTTACTTACCATGTGACAATTGTAACACATTTCTGAATGTTAGTTACCATGGACAGCAGATGTACATTAGTGCTGATATGACCGACGATTTACTTTTTTTTGCAGGTGAAACATCCCTGTCAGGTCAGCAAACAAGCAGTCACTATGAAGAGGTGTTTTGTGCTGCTGCTGCTGGCTCTACACGCTTATACAGGTAAGTGGCGAGCTCTTCATTACATACACCCGAATCGCATTGACGGCTAGTTATTGGGAGCTCGTTATTCTGAAGATGTTATTATAGTATTAATTGATCTCAATCACCATGTTCAGTAATCATTTCAATGACTCAACTTCTGCCATCAGTGGATTGGGGATTCGAATACATCAGCCTTTTATGAAAGTTTTATAAAAAGAAAGCAATTTGTTGACTGCAGTATTGTGGTCACATTACCAGTAGAACATGTTTGTCACTTCATATCAATATTTGCTATCACGTACTATTTCTTTTCTGATTTCATTACTTAATTAACACGAAGTAATGACATCTTCGTTTCAGCCTGTTATGACGAACCTTCACATCAAACAATTCGTTCTAACGCTTACACAATATGATTAGACTAATGTATACTGTTCTGTAATCCTTCAAAAAGGAAAATATACGATAAGAAAGTACATACACGGTAGTTCTATTTTTGATCAAGTTTCTATCAAGGAATTGATCTTTGAAATGTTCTCGTTTAGGAGCTTAATAAAAACCTTGTTTTAAATCGCCAGCATTTTTTTTACGTCGGGAATTATACCCTTGAACCAAGGACAAATATGTTTCACAACATACACTGTCATCTACATACACTGTAATCTACATACACTGTCACCTACACACACTGTCATCTACATACACTGTCATCTACATACACTG